GACATCTTGATTACATTTTAATTTCAGTATGAATTGAAATGCACCATATAGAAATGATATTAGAAAATATACAGACCAAAAATATGCTCTTACCGCTATAATTGGAGACGCCAAGGAAGTTGCTCCGAAAAATTCCAAAAAAAATGGATGTGAAGCTACAGATGATCATTGATTCTCCTCTGATTATATCAGTATATGTTTTAGAAATGCCTGGAAAAGGAAATTAAAATATAATTTAATGTGCATGAAAATGATGCTTTTGCACAGAAAATACAAAAATAGAAGAGACGGAATATTCTAGGAAAAAAAGAAGGCAGACATAGCTGGGATGGGTCTGCTGGACAATCACCATTTTTAAATTTCTCCATTGTGCCTTCTATATCTCCAATGGCAAAGGAACATGGCAATAGCCCTTCTGGAAGTATCCATTGCCTCAAACCATGCTTAAGCCTCTGAATGAGACAAAACACTTCTCAGTTCACTATATTTAGCTTGAATAAACATGAATCATTAGACTCCAAAAGAATCACACTTTAGAAATAAGTACAAAATATGACCTAGCAAATCTACTCCCAGACACATACCCAAGAGAATTGAAAACATATGTCCACACAGAAATCTGCGCATGAATGTTCACAGCATTTTCGTAATAGCCAAAAAGGGGAAACAACCCACAGTCCCTCAGCTGATGAATGGATAAACACATGTGGGTATATTATGCAGGCTAATATGACCACAGATTGATACAGAAAGTATTGTACAACTACATGTTTTTTTAAAGCAGTTTAATATAATCCATTGCATCAAAATCAAAACTGATTCTATTAAATGACACTATTTTTTTAATCCAAAGAGAACTGGATCTGACTAACATTCTACTTTTTTTCCTTTGGTGTTTTTTGAAACACATAATAATTAAATAGATATAGCTGGGGGTTCAGTATTAATATTTCTAAGATACTATATGTAGTTCAAACAAAAGGAAGTCTCTGCTTTCCAGTGTTTGATCTGAGTACATGAAACATCAGACTGTTTGGATTCTATCTATCTTTGCAAAAGTCTCCTGAATGATAGAATACCAGGAAACTACAGAATACTAGGATAATATAGAATTTCTGATTACTCAGTGCCTAACTGCAGATCAATATTCAGGCTGTTTATTTCTATTCTCTGTGGTTCATTACTGTAGCCAATAAAGAAAGCAAAGATAATAAAAGGCAAGATAAGTTATAACTATTTTTTATTACTATTTGTTACTAACTTTGACTATAAAAAAAGACAAAGGAATACTGGTTAAATAGGTTTGAAGATTATTAGCACATTTAATTTAGTTGGTCAAGAAATCCTTTAATCCTTCCCTCAGATTTGGTGAGTCAACCAGGACCAAGTTAAGTACAAGATGTGTTGCATGAAGTTTTGAATTTGATGTGTAGTTGTTTTAATAGTAAAACTCCCCACAGTTCTTATTGACTTAATGTGGAACTAACTTATATTTATTAATTTGTTGTAAAATTTGGGGGAAAGAAAGAATAAAACAAAATAAAACAAATAAACAAGTAAAACAAAAATCATCTATAATTCCATAACCCAGAGAGAACCATTTGAACGTTCTTCTAAGCACGTAATTCTTTATACTCAGTTGAAATCAAAATAAATTTTGTCTTTTATTCCTTTACAAGCTCCTATTCCAGATTTGTTTTAAAGTAAGAACTGTTTAAAAAATAAATAAATAAAATAAAGTAAGAACTGTTTGAGCCCTGTGCACTCTTTTAAAGTAGGTAATGAATAGACAGGCTCATCTTAACTCATTCATCTCATTGGGTCAGTCCATGTGACCCAGGCTGTGCAGGTTTTACAGTGCACCAAGGCACCGCATGAAATGAAGCAGCATTCACGCTGTAGAAGCAGTTTTGCATATGCAAAGATTATGGTAATTTTAGGCATACAGCAAAAAATACTTCTACTTAAAAAAGCAATGTATTATGACAATTAGATAGGAAGGCTCATTTATCTAATTCACACAAAGGACCTATATGGTGGCTCTGTCAACACCATAAATGAGTGAGAGTGATTTTCCCCCCATAAAAATGAGTCAAATTTGTCTTACTAGGTAAAAATGTCACTGAATGCAGAGCCATGTACCACCCGAGTATTACTGACATAACGAAAATAACGATTAAGAGTCAAATACCTTCACTAGTTTTAGAGAAATGGAAGACTTTCCACTCCTGTTTTGAAAAAAAAATTTTTAATATGGAGACTGCAATAAATAATTAAAGTTTGGAGTTTATTAGAGCCTCTTATAGTGGAGAGATTGCAGAAAAGGGAGCAGGAAGAAAATGATGGGAATAAAACAAGTGGCAAATACTAATGGCTAAAAAAGAAAGACAGGTGAAGGAAAGACAGAAAAATAATGTGCTTGGGGTAAAAAAGAGAGAGAAAGAAAAGAGGACAGGATCTGACTCTTTGAGAAATATCTTGTGACAATGTGAACTATCACCACCAAAAGTGTCTTAAAACTTCCCATGTTTTCTCAAGTGTAAGTCTAAGTGGGTATAAATATGGGAATATCACTTGCCAGAAAGGTTCAAGATTTCCCAAGCCAATCATAAGGCAATATATTTCCACCAAGTATAACTGACACCTAAAATTGGTTAGTTAAATATTTCTGGCTCAAAAACAGAAACCACAATATCTAGACATTTCATGTCTTTACTGCTATGTTAATAAAACATGACAACAGGGGCGTATTTCAGAATGAAATCACCTTTTTACCAAATGAGATGGGAAGCAGTGTAGAACCCCAAAGCCTCTTGGGAATAAGCTTTTATTGAACAATATATGTGCCAGACTATATTTTCACCCCATTTCTCTTAAATAAATTACAAGTCCCTCTACCACCCGCTCAAGGTTAGCTGCTCCAAAATGGAGGCAGTTCTAACAAGAGGTAGCTAGACCTTGGAAAAGTTTCTTTAGGGAAAAGGCAGAGTCTCTACCTTGTGGCTTGGAATTCAGCGGAAGGGAATAGAATGCTTATTTTTTATCACTTTCTAGGAAGGTTACATTTTCTTCTTGAAAAAATTTGAGATCATAATTGGTGCTGTTTATCCTGGATCTCAGGTTGCCTTATTTACTTTGCATATCAATCAATGCTCCAGCTCCAAGACAAACAGCACAAATATCTACTTTGTTAGATGCACAACTCATGGAAGAAAAATACTGTCAAAAGGAAATAATTTATCCTCACATCTTCAAGAGAGAGAAATAAATCTGACATACCAATAGTTTTCAGTGAATTCACAGAATGAACAGGATCTGTAATGACAAGGGTCATGCTAAAGAATACGCAAGATTGCAAATCCCATGAGTCCTTATTGAAATTCAGAACCACATATCCAATTATGATGAATGCTATGGAAAAGTTGATGAATCCAGTTAACATGACCTGTGAAACCAATTCATAACATGGTATTAGGTTTAACATCTCAACATGGCATGACTGCATTTACTTATGTATGAGTCAGATCATGGCTATATATTTTATACCATTACTCTGGAAGATAACTTTAAAAGATAGTCTAGTTTACCTACCTCAAAGAAACCACCCCTTCCAAACAAATGAGATTCTACATTTTTGTGAAAAGACCCATTCACCAATCTCTCTTGTTGCTATTCCAGCTTAATAGTTATCATTGTCAAAATGTTCTAAGATGGAATGCAAATTTCTCTTGCTTCTGTGTGAAACATTTCCTGGTTTTCTCAGGGATGATCTGCAGGGCTCCAGGCAGAAAGAGAAGTAAAACAATGGGCAAAAAGCCCATTCCAGCTGATCTGGCCCCCGTGGTAAGGGTTTTCCAGAAGCCGTATTCAGCAAACTTTTGTGTACATCTCATTGCTCAACTGTTTCCTGACACTACCACATCTGTCAAGGATGCTGGGAAATGTAGTACTATTTCACACTGGACCCGCTACCATACCAAACAAAATACAGGAAGTCTCTCTTTAGTGAGAAAGAATGGGATAGACAATCAGTAGTGCCTGCCTCAAAACCAGCAACAGAACATAAAACTTTGAAACAAGGAGAGGAACAAAAGGGATAAAGAAAACTGGATCAACTTAATTGATTGAGAAGGGAAAAATGAATGAGAAAAAGTAAAGGAAAAGCATCATAAATAAAAAATACAAAATTATATGGGAGAAACAGAAATTTAACTTCTTTTGATTTTTTAAAATTTATTCTTTAATTTACATACAGTAAAATTAATTCTTTTGACGTAGTTATACAAGTTCTGACAAATGCATAAAGTCATGTGACCATGACCAAAATGAAGGAACAAAACAGATCCGTCACCCCCAAAAATTTGTTCACACAGCCCCTTTGCAGTCAGTTTCTTCCCTCATCCCCACTCCCTGGCAACCAATGATCTATTCTGCAAACGTGTAGTTTTGCCTTTGCTAGAAGGAAGGTCTATGAATGGAATTATACAATATGTAGTTTTGGGGTCTGGTTTCTTTCTCTTAGCACAATGCATTTGAAATTCTTTCATGTTGTGCCCATCAATACTCTGTTCCTTTTCTGTTGCTGGGTAATATTCCATTGTAAGATGTGCCACAATTTGTTTACCCATTTGATGGTTGAGAAATGTTTGAGTTGTTTCCAGACTTTTGAGATTATGAATAAAGCTGCTATAAAGATTCATAGAGTTTTTATTGTAAGTATAAGCTTTCATTTCTCTTGGGTAAATATACATGAGTGGAATTGCTAGGTTATATGGCAAATGTATACTTAACTTTATAAGAAATTCCCATACTGTTTTCTGAAGTGGTTCTACCATTTTGCATTCTCACCAGCAATGTATGAGAGTTCTAGTTTCTCTCAATTCTTACCAGTACTTGACATTCATCAGGCTTGTTATTGTCACTGCTGCTGCCATTCTAATAGGAATGTCAGTAATATCTCATATGGTTTTAATTTGTCTTTCCCTAATAATTTAAGATGTTGAGCATCTTTCCAAGTACTTATTTGTCATCCACATATCTTCTTTGGTACCTCAAATCTCTTAAAATCTTTTGCCTTCCTAAATCTATTTTTAATCACAATAAATATCACCAAAAAATACATCCCCCCACCCCAAAAGCCAGCAGAGATAATCAACCTAGATAAAATAGCAAAATCCAACTGTGTGTTATCAAAAAGACAAACATAAGTTCACCAAAATCTTGAAAGTAAAAGAATGGAAAATTTTTAGCAGACAACTACTAACCAAAAGAAAGCTAGTATAACTATAGTAACACTTGATAAATTTGACTTAAGGCAAAAGCATAATTTGGAATCAAAGGGTAAGTAAATAGTAAGGAAAAAAATTAACTAGGAAAATAACAATTCTTCTACATGCACCACAGGAGTTGACAGATGAAGCACATTCTCTGATCACAATGTGATAAAGGAAATAAAAATAAAAAGCCATATTTGGAAATTCAAAGACAACTTCTAAATAACTAATGGGTCAAAGAAAAAAGTATAATAAAATTTAGGTAGGAGGGATGATAATGAAAACCCTAAAAATCTAAACATGTGGGGTGAAACTAAAAGAGTAGTTAAAGGAAAATTTAAAACCTTAAATGCACAAAATATAAAAAATTTAAAAAGCTAAAAGTCAATCAACTAACATCTAACTCTAGATGTTAGAAAAAGTAAAGAATGAAATCAAAGAAAATGAAACATTTTGGGAAAAAAATTAGTCTGGCAAGCATGATTTAGGGAAAAAGAGAAGGAATAAATAAAACAAACTTAACAGTGAAAATGGACAAATCTAGAGATACAGTTGAGATGAGTCAGAGGGGGGATCAGGATCCAGGTTCTGCCGTTTATCAGTCTTGTGACCTCAGAACTACACTCTGCTTATATGTGAAGTGGGGGTGATACTAACTCAGTGCCCCGCCACAGTGGTCACTCGGCAAATATTCATTTCTCCTCCCTCCCCTCAGCTCTCTTTAACTAGTGAGTCTGCAGAATGAGGAGAGTTAAACAACAAGAAATGTGAGATTTGTGAATTATTAATCTTCTTTGTAGACATATTCTCCATGAACATGACTAAGCAAGAATGGACCATAATTTGTTTTAAAGTGTGTTCTTACCTGCCAAAACACATTCTTCAGTACATGAAAGTCCACATCCAAAGCAGCCATAAATATAATTAAAGGTGAGAAATAACAATAAAGTGCAAAACTTGGTGTTCTTAGGAGAGGGTGGACGACTTGGTGCACCTAAACTAACACAGGTAAACAAGAAATTAGTTTGCTGCCTTTTTGAAGACTTAGAAATTAGGCTGATGCTCTGTCCATCAATATTAAATTTTAGAATATTCCAACTGATGAGAGATCATCTACAAAGCCAGTCCTGAGGGTCTTGTGGTAGACTGCTTGATCTGATTATGCAGATGACTTAAATGCATAGTCCTGTATTCACCAGAAAACTGTGTGTACATGAACATCGATGGTGGTAAGTAATCAGCATTTTCGAAAGTGGTACTTCTCACACTGGTGATCCCAGAGGTGATTTTAGGTGGTTCACAGAGAAGTATTTTTTTTAATTTGAACATTATATATTTATTCTAATTTGCACAAGAGGGGAAAAAAGAACTTTACACATGGGTACTTGGATTTCACAGACATTTGCTTACGATTTAAAATCTTTCCATGAGTCAAGCAGAGAAAAATAATATGTAGATAATAGTACAGAGAGTGTATATAGGACATAAATCATGAAGGTTATACACAGTTGAGGGGAAAACATTTAACAGCAACAATGACTGAAGTGCTTGCTGTAAATATTCCCTCCTGAAAAGTTTTTGGTTCAATTAATAGTTTAATCGTCATGACTTCACATCTCTGTAACTCATCAGCAAAATGGTAACAGAGTATATACTTCCACTGGGTTGCTGCAAGAATGAATGAATTAACTTAATAAATTACTATGAATTAAATGAGTTAATAAATTAATAATAAAAAAGAGAAAATCAAAGCACTTAAAAGGGAGTCTGGCACACAGCAAACACTCAAAAGATATGCTAATAATAATAGTGGTGTTTCAGAAGAATATTGAGACTTTTTTTTACAATCCTTGATAGATACAGGCATTGTCTCCATTTTTTTTTTAAATGAATGAGTGGAGACAAATTGTTGTTGATCACACTGCTATACATTTGAAATCAGGGGTTAATAAATAAAATTAATGAAATTTTTCTTGGATCTGTATTATGTATTACATGATGCATGTTTTGCATTTAATCTGGCAGTTAGGAAAGAGGAACCATATGCTTCATCACGACAGTTAACTGCTGCCTTCTGGAACGCAGGTCTCCGCAGGTGCTGAAGACAGTAGATCGGGAGAATCCAGTGTACACACAGGGGGAGGAAACAAGAGTGAGCCAAAGGCAGATGACGAAGAACCCAAGAATCACCTTTTACTCACTTCCAAATTACTGCTCTATTTTAAGCCTCCCTGATTTATGTCTCCTATCTTGGATAGTTTTTCATTTTTGAAATTTTTAACACCAGATGAATTTTTCTCAGTAGCTGCTTACAGTTAAAAAAAAAATGCTACTCATTCGGCGGGGGGAGGGGGGTTGCGAGTTGACCTTGTTTTTGGTTTTTGCTCTTTCATCAGTTCTCTACTTTATGGTATGTATGTTACCTCAACAAAATTGTAGGCCAGTCGTCCTATCAAAAATCCAAACAGAGAAAGAATCGTCAAGACAGTGACTTCAGAATTCTTTAAAAATGCCCTCAGAAATCCTGGAAAATAAAAAAAGTATGTGTTATTTACACATAAGGAATAGTTTAAAAATAGTTGAAAAATTCCCTCTCTTTGGGTATTTAATTTTAAACTTCCTCTGAGCATCCCATCATTAAGAATAAAGAACTGACAGCTGTCGCAAATGCTGTCTCTCAAGTATGACACACATAATGAGGCACCGCTCATAGGTGAATTTGGAAAATACTGAAGTTCCAACAACCTCCCATGCTCCCACCCAATGGCACATTAGGACCACTGTGTGGGTATCTTGCCTATGGATCTGATGATGAGAAATTATGAAAAACTGAATTTCATATCTACATATGTACCTTGTACTAATCATTACTCATCCTGAGCCACAGCAAGCCCGAAATATTTTTACCTGAGATCTAACCATAGGGAAAACTGCCTTCACCAATAGGTGTCCAAACACATTCGTTATTCTCTGTTTACGTGCATTTCCTTGCCTTAAAACTCCCTACTCTGTCTCAGATTATTCAGCTCATTCTCTCCAGAGACAATAATCCAACAAATGTATGCCTAAGGCAAGACTCATTGCCATCTCCGATTCTGCATTGCCTGCCTTCCAGCTAAAGGTCAAGACCAATCAGTAAATATTTTTTTGAATGCTTCTTATGTGTAAGGCTAGATAAAGAAATGTTTCTCAAACTTCTGCATTGTCTTTTCCTGCTGGAGCACTTGTCTCTATGTAATCACAAAGGACCTAAGGCTAGTGAAATTCATGGTCAACAGCACCTCCTAGCACCCAAAGGGAGCAAGGTCAGTAATGAGCTTTCCCAGACAAAGCAGTTCCACCCTTTGATATGAGTACAATTAAAGGAGTTCTTCAAGTGTGTTTGTTTCTCTATAGTCTCTCTAGTTCCAGAAAGGATTTTAAAGCAGCTGACATGTTTTCCCAAATAAAAAAAATTTTAAGGGGACTAGAAAATTTTCTCTAATCACTAGCACTGAATTGTGGTGTTTTAAAGCATGTGTGGTGTTTTAATATGTTATTTTATCTGCGTGAGTATCATTCACCATACCTACTGAATTCTTAATCATTGTTTAAGAGACCCTGACAGGTGAAGCTTTTCCTAATTTCCCACTGCAGGGTGGGATGGGAGGGTGCATCTTCCCTGAGGAAAAAGTACATCAAAAGCCATACTTGTTTGGAAAGAAATTATATATGTGTATATATGTATATGTATATTTATGTGTGTGTGTGTGTGTGTGTGTGTATAACTGTATCACTGTGCTGTACACCAGAAGCTAACACCACATTGTAAATCAACTACACTTTAATTTTCTAAAAAGTCATACCAGTTTGGGATTAACATATACACACTATATATATAAAACAAGGATCTACAGTATGTCACAGGGAACTATATTCAACATCTTGTAATAACCTATAATGGAATAGAATCTGAAAAAGAACATACATATCTGTGTATATATATATAAATGAATCACTTTGCTGTATACCTAAAACTAACACAACATTGTAAATCAACTATACTCCAATTAAAAAAAGAAAGCCTTGTGCTCTACACTGGAATTTGACACAACATTGTAAAATGATTATAAATCAATAAAAAAGTTTAAAAAAAAAGCCATGCTAGACATTGATGATGTCAACTAAGCAAACTGAATCGTATAGCAGGGTTCTATTTGCCCTCCACTCATCCCAGATATTTCGTCAGTTTAGTCCTGGCAGGCAAGCAGGCAGCCAGGCAGTGTAAGGCTCTCCCTCCCCCTTGTTCCCAGAGATTCTGGACCATACCTTTGTAGTTACACTAACAAAACTGCATTGTCCTTATGTTTGCCTGTCTTCCCCCACAAGAGGGCTCCTGGAGGTTAAGGACTGTCTTACTCTCCACACTGCTGTGCTCAGCAAATGTCACTGAATGAAGGAGCCATAGCATAGACGATGCTTTTAATTAAATGAGACAAGACAGACAGCATTCACTCACATCTTATAATTTCACTGGACCTCTTCTTCTGTTGTAGTTGTTATCACTTTCTGCACTAAGAAAGGTTCAGAGGGCCGAGGAAAGAGGAGATTTAAAAACAACCACTTACCTCCCAAAACAATAATGGAACACACAAGAATTATGAAATTCCCCTTTGCAAAATTGTAGTCAGCTGACCTTCCACAGAGTAAATCGGGTCTGCTACCTTCTTTTTTCTCCCAGAAGGAAGTATTCGATTTTCCCATTGCTTTTTTGGTCCCAGTTGATAAACCCAGATGAGAGTTACTGTTGACACTTTCACTAGTACAGACTAACCTGTTACAATATGCAAAAGAAGAAAATGAGGCTTGCCAGGACCCCATGCATCCATATTCTTTCTATCTAAGATTACACTGCACTCAGATATGAGCATGTTTCTTCTTGTCACAAAGTACATATTAATACCTCCTGTTCCACCTTTGCTCTAAGAACATGTAACAGGAACACTAATTGCAGTGTTAGTGTTTCTTCCTCGTACTGCTACATGTGTATGGGGAGGGATTGTACTGATTTCTGCTCTTACCATTTCTCATATGAAATGTTAACATTTGCCTTCCCCACTGGACAGTGAGTTTCTCAAGGGCCAGGGCAGACTATTAATTTTCTTTAAGTCTGTGCACAGTTTGTAGCACATAATAAGCTCTCCATAAATATCTGAAGAGCTGAACTCTTTGAGGGGGAGCTCTTTCTCCATGGGTACAAACCATACTAGAATTCTCTTTTACTACTGCAATCCCCTGTCCCTTTTTCCCTCTCTCAGGCCCCTCCAAATCCAAAATGGCAAATGGGAAACAAGGTCAAAGTTGAGTCACACCAGTTAAGGCTGGGGATGAGGAAGGATTTGAATAACCTAAAAACAAAGGAAAAGACTAAAGTTGAGTTTTGATCATATGGTACCTTTGAATGAATTAGAAAAAGTCCCCCTTCCTGACAACAGGGCACATGGCTTGGCCGATGAATAACAGGCTGGATTTCAGCAGCAATACCCACACCCTCCTCAGCTGTGGTCCCTGGGTAAGGACACAGCCTGCACAAATCTACATGTGGGTCCTGAGAAGGACTCATTGTCTTTTACTTTTCTTTGCAGCTAGCATTAACCTAAAATTCCTGGAAGTTTCTAAAGTATCCCCTGTAATATCTGGGGCTCACCTTCGGATATATGTTTTGCACTTGTTTGGTCTACAGGCCACAGTGACTCTGGTGTGAAGCAGAGGGTGGGTCAGAAATGAGACTCAAAATGTTATACCCTCAGACCATCTCACCTGGCCCCCAAGTAGCTCTTCAGTTCCTTGGCAACCTCACAGCCTACTATCCCCACCTGTCATTACAGCATCTCACTCTCAAATCAAATTCTCCAAACAACCAAGACCAGCAATACCTTCTACCAAAGCTAAGCAGGTTCAGAGCTGAAATAAGATGAAGGCAGTTGAAAATCACAAAGCTCAGCTCTGTGTCTGTTTGCCAGGGACAGTACTGCCAACTGATAGCCACTGAAAGCCATTTCCATGCCTAATTCCTATTGGTTTCTTGCCAACTTAGTTCCATTCTGATTGGCTACATACATTATCTCCACCCCCAATCCAGAAGAAACTGATTCCAGTTCCAGGGAAATTTGCATTTCTTAATGCTCAAGCTGTGTCTATATCCACAACTGTTTTAACTGATTTTCTTTGCCTGATGTAACGGCTGAAATGGTCATGGACCATGTAGACAGAACCTCCTCTCCTCTTATATATGTTTGTAATACATACTCTGTTTTTCTTCTTTCAGCACTAACCCTTTCAACACTGCTTTGTCTCCTCCACTTTTTCATTCATCCTTTTCTACTTTTTCTTTTTCTACCTCTCCTTTCTTTTCAATGGAGTTTCTCACTCCCATCTTTCTCCTTAACTCCTAACTTGTCATGGGCTTTCGGTCCTTAATATGAAGAAACAGTATCACCCATTCTTCACAGGAGGACAAATACACCCGAAATTCCATGATGTCTAACATGTGAAATTTTTGCCTCAAATCTAATCATCAAAATAAATACAGTATATATTTAAACAAATGAACAATTAGTCAACTTGTAGTTTACTTTCAAGAAAGTTATTTTATGACAGTTTAATTTCTACTCTCTCATTCCTGTGCCACACTAATCAAATCCTCTTCCCCAGGGCACCCAGGATAGCACCACAGCAGTGAGATTACTAAATCTATCAGCAATCTTCTCCACCACTAGTTTCAAGGAAACTTTGACAAAAGTCCAAGTTCCTACTTGAGACTGAACAGTTTCAGTCAACAGCTCTGTGTCTGCTCCTGACTGCAATAACCACCACTGGCATTCACACACCATTCCCCCAAAATACTTGCTTTACAACATTTTGTTGCTGTTGTCTGCTATGGTTCTATTAAGCCATTGGAACCATCGCTAACATAAATCCCAAGGACCACTTTTTTAAAAAGTTGTCTTATTCACAGTCTGTCTCCTGAGAGACCTATTCCTTACTCATTCCTGTCCTGCCCTTACTGAACTCTTCCAGTTACCAAGTTCACTACCCTTTCTCACATTTTCATCTTAACCCTATCTACACTGCTTGTCACCTTGACTACTCTCCTCAACTGCAATGTCTCAGGCTATTCTGAGTGATGTCCTTCTAGCTCTGTCTATATCTATCCTGCACACTTGGTTCACCTCAACCCTACAGGGAAGGCTCATGCAGTTTTATATTTCAAATATCAGGCTTTCCATGGCTTTTGGAAAAATCCACATACCTCAAGAAAACTTGGGCAAAATTCATAGAGTCAGCTCTAGATCAGTATTGTGCTGAGAGCAAGACAGCACATAACTAAAACACAGAGATGATCCAATGTCTTGACCTAACATTATTTCCCATAGAGCTAAAGAAGAAAGCAAAAATAAATGTCTGTTTCGCCGTCTTGGGTAAAGCCAGCTAAGCAGACTTTCGTAGCTTTGAGAGTTGAGGGCTGAGAGGCTTCCCGGTGTGCTTCACCCCAACCCCATCTTCTGATAGGCACATGACAGTTCGTTTGCCACAGCTTCCCATCCCAGTAACACTGTGATTGGTTCAGAGCAGGGGACTCAGACAAGACCAATCAGATGATGATGCCTTGATATACATACCATCGTGGGGAGAGAGCTGTTCTCTTTCCATTTGCGTTTAGCTGCGGTGATGGCTGCCCAGAGCAGCTCGAGGCCACCCTCCCAGCTGCACTGGGAAAGCCCACCTCAAGTCGGGCTGAGGAAAGCCTTTCCGAGTCTGGAGGTTTCCATGAGGCACTACCTCAGACATCTCTGAGGTCTTCACAGGCGACCTCACAGCCCTGCCTGGGATCTCTCTTTTCTCAGAGGCCGTTTCTTAGTTTGAGAACTTTCTGTCACCTAGAAAGGCTACGAATGAGAAATACTTTTATTTTCAAACCCAGTTGAGTGCTTGATCCTTTATATTTCTTTCAAATTTTATTTGAAAACTGAACTGTTCCTTTGCAGCTCATCTCTCCCTTCTCGTATTTTAGTAGGAGAAGCTGGGTCACACATGGATACTGTCTGGAAAAGCCCTTAGCAGGATCATTGAGCTCATCACTGAGACAACAGTGTGGCCAAACTTACCACCACCACATAACGATGGCCCCTTTTCTCCAGCTTCTAACAACATTTTCCTCTCTTTCCTATCAATCCCCACTCAGAGCCTCCTAGACGCCTCAAAGATTCTACTCATAATCCATTTAAGACCCTGCTGGCTTTCACTAACACTCTCCTCTGGCCCCTTCCAGCTTCTGCCCACCACCCAGTCCCCAAAAGGCAATGCCACATATGTTAGGGTTTATTACATCAATTTCTCACTTCAAGGTTCCAAAATTTGTATGCTATACATTGCTACGTAACAAACAGACACAAAACTTGGCAGTTTAAAACAACAAGAATCATTTATTTGGCTGAAATCTACAATTCTGGAAGGACTCAACAGAGGCGTGTCTCTGCTCCGCACAGCATCAGCTGTGGGTGGCTCGGCTGAAGGGTCCGCTTCCAAGAGACTCACATCACTGACAACCGCGGGCTGGGGCCCAGCCAGGCAGGGCGAGGATCTGAGGCCTCAGTTCCCGTCCACACGGGTCTCTCCACAGGCTGGTTTCCGAGAGCGAGCATCTCAAGAGCACTAGGTGGAAACTATCACTTTTATCTTTTATGATCTATGGAAATCACATAGCATTACTTCCACGGTAGTCACAGGCCTGCCCAGGTTCCAGAGGAGAGAACAGAGAGCCAGCTCTCTATGTGAGGAATGTCATGACCCTACTGTGAGAAGAGCATTTGGGATGGGAGAGTGGCCATCTTGGAAAACACAATCTATCACATGTTAGACTAAACACTGGGCGGACTGTCAGCCCTTTGCAACTCGGGGCATTGTGTTAACCTAGATGGCAGTCTGCCGGCTTTGGCTTAGTCTAGGGCAGTAGTTCCCAAAGGCTGGACTTTAGGTCAGCTGTGATTCATGACAGAAGCTCCATCATATACGGCAAAATGAAAAACATAGAAGTCTATAATAAAACTTAATTATTCAACTTAAAGGGTAGAGCTTTATACTGAGCTCATATCTTCCCTTCTTTTCTGGTATTAAATTGTCTTTTATTTCATTAAATGATGGTGGTAGCAGATATTAGTTGTTTTCTTAATGGTGTCATAACAATCTCCTCCCTTTATTTTTTTACATTCTTCCAATCCATGAAATACAAAAACCTAAGGAACCACTGTCTAGAAGTTATCATAACACTTAATGTAGTCTTTGCTTGACTACCTCTCAAATGATGTGATTTAATTGACTAGTATGCACACTGAAGTAATATTTACTCCACGAATTACTCAGAAAAAGTCATGCAGCTACCTGTATAACAGCTCAACTCAAAGCATAAGGGCATTTAACACTCCTGTGACTACACCTACAATTCAATGCAACAATAAGTCACAAGATGTCTCAAAACATACTAAAGTAATAGATCTATAGATATGCATGTATATTCAGACCCTCACATCAATGAAATCTTTGAAGTGAGATCCAGGAATTCCTTGGTAATCACCAGGTTCACATGCCTATAACGTAATACCGCATTCAAGATGAAGGTTAGAAAACAGAAGATTAGAGAAGAAACTAGATACACAATCAGAATCCTGGATGTGTGTGTGGCTTGTCTTTGGGAGGAGCAGGAGTGGAAATGGGGCACTGGCACAAGCAAAATATGGAGATAAGAATTCAGGAGTTGTTTTTATGAAGATGAACAAGCTCCACAAATGAATTACAGATTGCTTCACCAAGGGTCAGGACTGACTTTTTAATCAGCTTCATTGAGTTACAACTGACATATAAAATTAGATGACAGGATTGACTCCTGGAAAGTTCCCATAGCTGGAGGCAAGATGAAAAGGAACAGCTGGTGTGTTAGACCATTCAGGTTGCTGTAACAAAAACACCATAAACCAAGTACTCTACAAACAACAAACATTTATTTCTTACAGTTCTGGAGGCTGGGAAGTCCCTGATCATAATGCCAGTGGATTCACTGTCTGGTGAGAGTCTGCCTCCTAAATGGCTGTCTTTTTGCTGTGACCTCGTATGGTGGGAGGAGCAAGGGGACTATCTAGAGCCACTTTTCTCAGGACCTAATCCCATTCTTGAGAGCGCGGCCCTCATGACCTAATCATCTGCAAAGGCTCCACCTCCTATTACGCTCACATTGGGCATTAGGCTTCAAAATATGAATTTGGGGGTGTGGGGTGGGGGTGGGGTGACACAAACATATTCATAGCAGCTGATGGAAAGAGTTAGAAAAATAGCTTGTAAGAAAGTCAAGGAACCATGATGACATAAAAGTACCAATACGAGTTTCAAGAAGGCAGCATTAGCAAATATACCAAAAGCTGCACAAAGTTTAAGAAAAAAAAGACTTAACCATGAATAACGGGGAGAGAGGTTTATTTTCTACTTGGAATCTCCAGAAGTGCCTCCATCTTACCTAGGAATCTCTGAAGTGAGATTCAGAACTCCTTCCCTAATTAATCACCAGGACCACATGCCTGGAAAGCAATGTCACCTTCAAGATCAAGGCTCAGAAAATGCAGAATTACAGTAGAAACAACAAAAACAGCACCTGGCCTTGTCCCTAATTATTGCAGCACTTAAAGACAGTGGACTTCTCACAACATACAACATTAAGAGAATGGAGCAAATGCAGGTCTCTTCCTCTGCACTGCTCCACAGACACCCACTAGATCTACCAGAGAAGGGAGTGACGGTTATTGCTCTGTTCTTCTGCTTCAGGAAACTGAAACTGAATTGCTAATAGATTTAAAAAAAAAAAGATCTCAAAACTTTAAACTTTGTGAGACAAGCTAAGAACAGTGCTACCTCAAAACCATGGTTGAGAAAACATCAACTGACAAGGAATGACTGAATCGCTCATGTCTTTTCCTTCCCCTCTAGAATGAAAAACTAGTTTTCAGGGCGGGACAAAGAAGAGAAGCGTTTTCTTTCTATAAAACTTTCTCAGAAAGTCACAGAGTAGTAGAAGGTTCAGGGAATCTCTAGAGAAACTACATAAAAAGGACATTCCAAATCACCGATGTGAAACCAACAATGATATTTAAAATCCAGGAGCTATAAAGCAGAAGGAAAAATGACATGGAGCCAGTCATAATAACTACACGAGCAAACCTAGAGCATGGGGGAAATCTAAACATAAAACTAAGCGGATATGTGTTTATTAATTTAAAGACAGAAGAAGGTTAAAGATTAAAAAAAAAAGATTTACTAAGAGATTATATCCCACCTTAAAAGTGAATTTTAACTTGGACATAGAGATTAACAGTTGTATAAGCAGAAGACCGGATCCAAACCACTCTCAATATTTCCCTGCTCCAGGGTGTCAGCCCATAGCATTCCTTTTGAGAGAAGGAGAACAAATTTTTCTTCTGGAAATAGTCAGTATGTCTTTTTTTTTTTAAATAGAATTCCTCAGGTGAATAGAAATTTCCTTCCTCAATTACACAGAAAATTGTTAGATTCCCTAAGTGGCTCTTAGAGCATCCACATGGTCTTTGTGAGTGATTCAGACCCAAGTGCTCTCTGGAAGGAGCACGTGGAACTGACCTGAAACTGATTCGTGAGAGCTGAGGCAAGGCCAGAGAGTCTAGACATAAGCATGCTGAATGCAGTAAAACAAAACAAGGGTGATTTAATTTCATATTTAAAACATTTTTATAAAACCCCACATCTGTTTTATTAACTTTTGTCGGCATGAATAGGTTTGCCTTTAAAAATAATAGAAGAATAATGTAGTTTTTATAAAATATATGTTCAGTAGAAGGTATGATCTTGACTTCGTTTCTGACCATGGCTTAGAATATAGATTTGGCACTTTTCCCTTGACCTGAAAGGAAGCAGATTTTAAATTACATTTAATCAGCTTGCAATAGAAAACAAAAAAGAAGCTAGTATTTAATACAATGGACATGAAATAAGTAAGTATGTCCCAGCCTGAACAAGGCATTAATGAAAACTTGGTGTTGGTATGTCAATTCAAGTATTCTCCTCCAACCTTTTTTTTTTTAATATTTAAAGCTGTGAGATCACACTCCTCATATAATCAGTATTATTGCTCCTAATTCTGCCATTGAATAGGGTAACTTTGAATAAACTGCTTAACCTGACTGATGTGTCTGCACTTTCTTCGTTGTAAAATGAGGGGGTCATCTCAGAGGTTCCATCCAGATCTAACACTTCTATAACGTGAAGGTACAAGACACTGGGTGCTTAGAGGTGAAAGAGGGGACTTGGGGAGAGAAGTGTATCTTCCTCAGAGGCGAGAAGGGAAGGAGGGAGGGTTGCTGGGCCAGGCTAACAGCAGTGGTGGCACAGGGGGAGAAGGTGACAATTATAACTGTATAACCAACAATTTAGGTTTTAACCATCTCATTCCTGAACTCTACTGGTCTCACGCCCTCTGGTCTCTTTTCCCTCCAATTCATTTTGCAAGGAAAGTCAAATTACCCTCCACTACTTAATACCTCTTCTCTCCTACCCCAAACAAAGCCTTTAATGGCAACTCACTGCCCTGAAAATAAAGTCCAAACTTCTAAGCTTACAATTCAGTACTTTCAATGAAATGATCACAAGCTAACTTTCCAACCTTATTTTCTACTGTTTCTGAACTCAAACTCAACTATAAGCAGCCAGATGGATACTGACCACTTTCCTATTCCCATATTTCAACTTTTCATCATCATATTGTGCTTTCATTCCAGAATTCTCTCCATATTCCATCCTGGTTACCTATCCTTTCTGGCAATTCCTCTTTCTTCATGATACTTTCTCTTTACACTTAGGCTTTCCTGAACAGACACAGCACTTAGTTTATCTTTTCAAATACGCATGTTTACTCACAAACTGGGTGGTGGACTCCTTAAAGACAAGGACAGTGCAAAGGCACCTGTATTCCTTCAGGGAACCTTGGAGAGTGCTATGTGCATGCTCATGAGATGTTGGGTGCAGATGGCAAAGGCTATCCTGTCGTACTACCTAGAGTAGATTTAAGTGTTTTAACCTTTAAAAAAAAACCCACAGCTCCTTTTGATAAACATAAAAATCTTAGGTACCAGACATCCACATTCAAAAGAATGAAGTTGGACCCCTACCTCACCACCATATACAAAAATAAACTTGAAATGGATCACTAAACGTAAGAGTTAAAACTATAAAACTCTAACAACAACAAAAACAAACAAACAAACAAAAAAAACAGAAGACAGGACTAAATGGCTTCTCAGGAGAATTCTACCAAAAATATAAAGAAGAGCTAAAACCTATCCTTCTCAAACTATTACAAAAAATTAAAGATCAGGAGACACCCGAATTCCCTTTTATGAGGCCATCATTATCCTGATACCAAAACCAGAGAAAGACATTGCAAAAATAGAACATTACAGGCCAATATCTCTTGATGACTCTAGATGGAAAAATCTTCAACAAAATACTAGCAAACCAATTCAAAAATACATTAAAAGGATCATATAGCATGATCAAGTGGTATATTCCCAGCGTGCGAGGATGGTTCAACATATGCATATTAGTCAATGTGATCCACATTAACAAAAAGAAGGGTAAAAACCCCATGATCATCTCAAAAGGCACAGAAAAAGCACATGACAAAATTCAACATCAATTCATGATAAAAAGTTCTCATCAAAGTTGGCATAGAGGAACATATCTTAACATAATAAAGACCATTTATGACTAACCCACAGTTAACATCATATTCAACAGTGAAAAGCTGAAAACTTTCTCTCTAAAGTCAAAAATAGGACAAGGATGTCCACTCTTAACACTTCTATTTACCATAGTATTGGAAGTCTTAGCCACAGAAGTCAGACAAGTAGAAGAAATAAATGTTATCCAAATTGGAAAGGAAGAAATAAAACTGTCACTATTTTGCAGATAACAGGATACTATATACAGAAAATCCTAAAGTCTCCACCAAAAAACTATTCAAACTAAGAAATGAATTCAGTAAAGCTGCAGGATACAAGATTAATATACAAAAATCTGTTAATTTTCTGTACATTAATAAAGATCTATCAGAAAGGGAAAGCAAGAAAACAATCCCATTTAAAATCACAACAAAAAGAATAAAATACCTAGGAATTAATGTAACCAAGGTGGTGAAAGACTTATAGTCTGAAAAATATAAAACATTAATGAAGGAAGCTGAAGATGATACAATGAACTGGATTAGAAGAATTAACATTGTTAAAATGTCCTTACTACCCAAAATAATCTACAGATTTAATGCAATCCCTATCAAAATACCAATGGCATTTTTCACAGAACTAGAACAAATCATACTAAAATTTATATGGGACCACAAAAGACCCCAAATTGCCAAAGCAATCTTGAGAGAAAAGAGCAAAGCTGGAGGTATCACACTCTCTGACTTCAGACTATATTACAAAGCTACAATAATCAAAACAGCATGGCACTGGCACAAAAACAGACATAGGTTAATGGAACAGAATAGAGAGCCCAGAGATAAACCCATGCACTTATGGCCAATCAATCTATAACAAAGGAGGCAAGAATATACAATGGAGAAAAGACAGTCTCTTCAATAAGTGGTGCTGGAAAAACTGAACAGCTACATGTAAAAAAATAAAATTAGAATGATTCCTCATACCATATACAAAAATATACTCAAAATGGGCTAAAGACCTAAATGTAAGACCTGAAACCATGAAACTCCTAGAAGAGCACATAGGCAGAACACTCTTTGACATAAATCATAGCAATATTTTTTAAAGGCAAAAGAAACAAAAGCAAAACTAAACAAATTGTACCTAATTAAACTTAAAAGCCTTTGCACAGCAAAGGAAACCATTGACAAAACAAAAAGACAACCTATGGGATGAGAGAAAATACTTGCAAACTATACAATTGACAAGGGATTAATATCCAAAACAGCTCATACAACTCAATATCAAAAAAAGAAAAACAACTCAATTAAAAGACAAGCAGAAGATCTGAACAGACATTTTTCTAAAGAAGACATACAGACGGCCAATAGGCACATGAAAAGATGCTCAACATTTCTAATCATCAGGGAAATGCAAATCAAAACCACAATTAATAATCACCCCATACTTGTCAGAATGGCTATCATCAAACTGTCTACAAATAACAAATGTTGGCAAGGATGCAGAGAAAAGGGAACCCAAGTATACTGGTGATAGGAATGTAAATCGGCACAGCCACTGTAGAAAACAGTATGGAGGCTCCTCAGAAAACTAAAAATAGAACTACCTTATGATCCAGCAATTCTATACCCGGGTATATATCTAAAGAAAATGAAAACACTAATTTGGAAAGATAGAAGCACCCCAACATTTGTAGCAGCATTATTTACAATAGCCAAGATACAGAAGCAACCCAAGTGTCCCTCAACAGATGAATGGATAAAGAATATGTGGTACATATATACAATGGACTATTATTCAACCATAAAAAAGAATGAAATTCTGCCATTTGTAACAATGCAGATGGATCTAAAGGGTATCATGCTTAGTGAAATAAGTCAGACAAAGACAAACACTCTATGTTATCACTTACATGTGGAATCTAAAACATTTTTAAAAAGAATGAATATAACAAAACAGAAATAGACTCACAGATAGAGAGAATAAAACAGTGGTTACCAGTGGAATAGCGAAGGGGGAGGGGCAAGATAGTGGCAGGGGATTAAGGGGCATAAACTACTATGGATAAAATAAGTAAGCAACAAGGATGTATTATACAACACAGGGAAATACAGTCATTATTTTGTAGTAACTTGAAATTCTATTGAAATATTGAATTATTATGCTGTACACCTTCTGAAACTAATACAATATTTTAAATCAACTATACTTCATTAAAAAAAAAGAAACAAGAAGACAACTCAACTTAAAAATGGGCAAAGGATTCAAACAGGCATTTCTCCAAAGAAAGTATGCAAATGGCCAGTAAGCGCATGAAAAAATGTTTAACATGATCAGGAATTAAAGAAACACAAATCAGAACTGCATTAAGTTACTTCACTCCCACTCGAATGGCTAAAGTAAAAAATTTTAAGACAATAACAAATGTTGATAATGATGTGGAGAAACTGGGATTCTCATATACATTGCTTATGGGAATGGAAAATTGGAAACAGTTTGGTGGTGCCTCAAAAGGTTACAAATAGAGGTATATGATCCAGGAATTCCATTACTAAATATATACCCAAGAGAAATGAAAACATGAAGCCAAACAAAAATTTGTACACAAAAGTTCATAGCAGCATCATTTATAATAGTCAAAAGATTTGGTGCAGCCACTATGGAAAAC